TTACTTTACCCACAACGCTAGTAAGGCTGACTGGTCAGTAGTTCCCAGGGTCACTCCGATCCCCAACTTTGGGTAGTGGAACAATGACAGCGTCCTTCCACTGCCGCAGTAGACGCCCTTGAGCGAATGACAAACTGAACAGGTTGCACAGTAGCGCTGAAAGTTCATCTGCCAGCTCCTTCAAGATCGGCGGATACACACCATCAGGTCTTGGTGATTGGTTAACCTTTAATCGACGCAGATCAAGGGCCACGTCTCCGATGGTAAATGGGGCCCATTTCAGCGCAGTGTCAGTGTGCTGGATGCTGGGGTGTACATTGTGAAACGGAATTTAATTTTAACAACGCAAGAGCTTCTGGTTGGCTGACTTTATTGGTTGAACATTGACGGATATCTGTTACGTGGTGTTGACAGGAGGCGTTTTGTACAATTTCTGAGTGGGAGTAGGAACTAGACAGACGACAAAGATTTCCCGAATGGGTGCCTGAGGCTGTAGGACAAGAAACACTTGGCAGCAGCTCAAAACGACGAAGGGTTTTTCTGTGCAAACCCTAATCGGAACCTTGGACTCAAAAGTTTGACACACAAGGCAGTGGGGCGTAGATTTAACGCAGGAGCGTAACCTAAGCATCCGTGTGGGAGCTTCTAAAGACCTGTCATGCAAGTTCTTTTGAGGTCGGTTCAGTATGTTGTTTGCCAGCGCGTTGACCCTCGATCTGCTGCTTAGGATTGGCCCGCAGTCTCAGCAACCCAGTGGGGCATGCGGAAAGTGGACGGGACAGCACTTTATTAACTTCAGGAAGCCCCAGGATACCCACTACTGCGTCCATCCAGCGGACTTTTTGGCTGGTAACCTACCTTTCCCTGTGATCATTTGCTCGATTGACCTCTCCAGGGGCGAGACTGGATAGACAAGGGAAGTCAGGAGATGCCCAATTGGCTGACCGTGTGAGACTGACGTTTGTCTGGCCTCTACCCGTTGACATTTAAGGCACGACTGGAAAAGCGATCTTGTGTAGCTCGGAAGGGCCTTGGAAGCACGCAAGCCATCAGACCACGTCAAGATACAGTTTTATCGTGATGGTACAAGACTGGAAGCTCGTGCGTTTTGTATTTTTATGTCTTTTTACTTCCCTTCAATTTATTGAATATATAAATTTACAGTCAACTTTCAGTAAGGGGGCTGCGGCCATACAAAGCTTGCCTGGGGAAATACAGAAATAAGGAAGACGGGCGGTGGTGGAGCGGATTGAACTCGGAACTTCCAGATCACAATTTGATGACCTAACTACTTGGTCACCACCACCCCTAGTAGTGTGATTTTTTTAGCATGAATGTAAATTGCTGAAAACGAGTTCCATTGCTATTCCATCGGAAACGGAAGGAAACTTATGGTAGCTATAACAAGAGGAAAGAATTCAAAGTGCGAACACAATAGCCCAAACAAACAAAAAAACATGTTGGGTTGCGCTCTGGAAAGACTGAGGAAAAAAGACTCACGGTTTGATACGGGAACGGTGAATCGGCTGTGTATAGCAGTGATTCCTTTTCGGAGTTCAGCCACTCACCGTAAGCATTAGCATAAGCTAAACTCGCGTGTATTTGACCGGCTATCGTATAAACGGGACATCGAGCTACTCGAGCGGCCAAAGAGGACCCACCGCCAACAAGCTGGCCCGTACCAACCTCAACCCCGTTGACTGCATCTGATGATCCTACGGGGCCGGATGTAGTGGTAGCGGTTCCTGAAGAGGTCGTATTGTTTCCAGTTCCGATGGCATTCGAACTGCCGTTCCCAGCAGACATAACCGACCCACTACCAGGCACCGATGCGGCCGGATCCGCAAGTTCCGTGGGAAACAATCGTGTTAGTGTGCCGTTGAAATTCTCTTTGGCTCGGATGGCCGTCTCGAGAAGATCGAACAGTAAGCCACACGGATTAGTTGGCACCAAAACGTGCCCCCCACGAGCCAAAGTTTGCACTTCGTCGGACAAGGAAAAAACAAAGGCGCAAAAGAGCCATGCGTGGTTCATTATTTTCAAAATTACCAAACGCTTTGAAACACTGACAACCCGTGGTTCCGTTAATATATTCAAATCACCAGAACCGGACANTGACGCTACGCCGGAATGCAGTACAGATGGATGCGTTCGTGGTAGCAAAGAATCTGATCAGATAATTAATCCGGTATAATGCAAAAGCATAGATAAATGAGGTTATTGAGCGTTGGCATTTATGGTCTGGAATGAATGAATTGATGATAACGCTAGTCGTGGAAAATTCCCATCTTGGCATCGAGAGAAAACAATGGTTTTGAGCGAACAAGCTCGTTTTCGATAACTTCTCCGGCTTATACAGTTATATAATCAAATTAAAAGGTGCTTCAATGTCTGAGTGTGATTGTTTGGTTGGGAAAGGGTGGGTAAGGAGGATGTGTTCGTACCACGATTGGGAAAACGATTAGGATGTGAACGTGTCATCATGTGTTTGGGTCTCGGGGTCATGGGAAGGGTCACGAACAAATCACGTAGACATTGAAGCACACTTTAATTTTAATTTGATTGAATAAGGCTAATGTCTGGCTAATTCTGGTGTTCATTCTTCAATCAAAAACATCGCCGTTAGTTTCTCAGATCAGAAAGTTAGAAATATTCAACCGACTCTGGTACTGACGACACACACCGATATCCCATTTCCACCATATATATGCTTCTCCGGAAACATCTGTCATCACACCTCAGGATTGGTAACTTTGAAGGTGATCTATTCTTTTATTACAGACCAGTGTATGATGAACAGTAGATGGGGCGAATCCCGTAGTCAAGAAGACCTACTGTTCAGGGATTGTAACGGGCAACCTAAGTACCGAGACTTGGAGCGGTCAACCACATGAAGCCCCGTAAGGTTAGGCGTGGTATTGAACCAGACGACAGCAAAGCTACCTACGACCCGATTTCGGTCGCGGTAGCAGGGCTCCAACCTCAAACCAAAGGGACCGAGGCACGCCAGTAACAGCGACTAAACTACTGACACCGAACTAATTATTGGCTCATATCTCAGGGACAAAACATGATTCGACAACACAAAACTGGATAGACAGAAAGATCCCGTGTAATTGCAGTGCAATGTCTCATACCTCAACCTAGATGGCTCTTAGGGTAACACAGATGTGTGAGAATACTTCTCTCCCTGATTGAAAACGAAGAAAATTCAGTTCGTGGGTGAATCCGATTCAGTTTCAGTTTTTACAACGATTAACCATGCACTTTCGTGCGCCGGTTTTGGTTGCCGTCATTTGGTCGCCCATTTGGATAAAAGAGCAGAATGAAAAATAGTGTTGAGAGGACATTCAAGCGGATGTCAGCGAATTTATCCTGACTGATGTTACAAGAATAATGAGTAGATGCATGAGCACCATTGTTTGCGACACCCAGCCATATCGCTCAGTTTCTCTGACAGACGGCGACCACGATCTCGGGGCCGCCAACCAGGAAGCCAAATGGGACCTATGTGATCCAGTCTCCTGGTTATGGTTCTTATATCCTCATGCCAGGTCTTTGTTTGACCGCTCTTGATCTTTCTCCATCCGCTACCGGCCTCGGCAAACATCACTCACCGTGGTAACCCATCTCCTGATAGGCGTAAAACATTTTCCAAGCACCGTAATCAATGAAGGTCGACCATTTTCACTAGTAGTCGAACGCGATTACCTAAAACTGCGCCTAACCTTAGCACTGCTCATCCGGTTACCCCAACAGATTCGTGCAACGCTACAGCGATCTGTGGTGTGTCCGCCTGGTAAGATATAGCTGCCCAGATAGCAAAATTGCATACTTTCTCTACTACTTCTCCAGTCAGAGTGAGGTTGGGGGCTGGGCCAAATTAATCTTGTAGCAACATTTTACACTTTGAAGGTGCAAAACGCATACCGAACATGGCTACCATAGCACTCGAACTATCGAGAAATGCTTACAACTCACCTGCATCTTCGTTTAGCAGCATCATGTCATCTGCATACTCTAGATCAAACAGTCTGCCATCTGGGAGTAAATCGATACCGCTGACCTTGAACGAGGATAGAGCTGTTTTAAGAATTAAATCTATGGCAAAATTGAATAGGAACGGAGAGATAAGGCAACCCTGTCGAATACCACTTTTCCGTGGTGAACTCGGGTGAAAAAGTGGCGTAAGATCGGACTCGGCATCGGCGATTAGTATAAAATGATCGTGATATTGAAATTACCTCCTCCGGCACGCCCTTTCGTGCGAGAGAGCGCCAGAGCTTAGAGCGGTCGACTGAGTCGAAAGCCGCTTTCAGATCGAGAAAGATAGAAATGGTGGGTCCACGAAAAGGTGTCTGTGTTCTAGGATCTGACGAAGAGTGAAAATGTGGTCCACACAACCTCGACCAGATCTAAATCCAGCTTGATTCTCACGTGTGTATAATTCACATGCGGTGACCAAATGACAGAAACCAAAAATGGAGCATGAAATTGCATGGTTAATCGTTGTAAATACTGAACTGAATAACTTTAACGAAGAGATCTGTCGACAAAAAGATGGTTCGGCCATGGGGTCTCTGCTGGGACCGCTTTTCGCAGACGTATTCATGGTGAAACTTGAAAACACCCAATTACAGTCATCCACTGAAGACTGTGTACTATATACGCGGTACGTAGATGACATTCATTGTGTGATTAATGCAACATCGAACGCAACAGAACTGTTAATCACGTTCAACACTGTGCATCCTAACATAACATTTAATTTGGAAATGGAGTGTAACAACAAATTGTCGCTTCTAGATGTTGTCCGAATTTACCATCATTACCAATTGTTAGAAAACACAAAATAGCGAACAAGTTCATTGGCGCTGATTCTTCTACAGGCTAAGACATCACAATTTATATCAAACTGTTTAGGAGGGACGGGGGAGGAATCATGACAAGTTGGAAAAGAGATAATGAGCATTCCAGTATCATGACCGGATGTTGCTCACACTTCGATCCTCACACATGCGCACTGGTTTGAGTTATTCGGGGTGGGTAGGGGGATGGCTGTGTCATGTGTGATGTTGGCCATAGAAGACCGAGTGTTCTTACGAATTGTTTTTGGGAGCATGGGGGGTATGTAGGCGGATTCCGATCGCTTCCGCTGTGGCCAAAATGGGATTCGTAATTCTCTCAGATCGGCGGGTACGAACAAAATAGAGGGGTCGAAACACCTCGGTCACTCAAGATATTTGCATAACCCGTCGATCAGATGGTTCGGTGCGGCATTCCGTGCATAGAAAGGCAAACCGAAAAGACCAATACATTCATCTTCGAAGCTTTAGGCCACTTAAGGTAACAAGGAACCTGGTTCTTTGCCCAGCGGATAGGACAAGAAAGATCTGCAGTGAGGACACGCTAGAAGAAATCCGTATTTTAGAATCGATCTTTGCACGTAACGGGTATGCGGAGCGCTTAGTCAACAAGATGATTCAGTAAAAGGAAAATTCTGTAGAAAACACCGAGGTTAAGAAAAACTGTGTACATTTCTTTGCTGTTCAAAGGGGACACATCGGCTGAGATCATACAAAGAAGATTACCCGACACAATCGATAAGACTTTCTATGCATCCAAGTGACGTGTGTCGTTCACGTCTAAGCCAATTGTTTGTTTGAGACTGAAGGACAGAGTTCCAGACTGTGTATACTTATTTATTTGTACCTGTGGAAAACGTACATAGGCCGTAGGATCAAGTGGTTGTCCGAATGGATTCGTGGGTACCGCCCTGCGTGGATGAACATCGGACCGATTCAGTCACTTACGGTGCAGTGGTTGCACACCCAGCTGAAGCAAATTGCACTGTGGACGTGTCCGAGGCTTTCCGACCCCTGTATAAAGTTCGAGTTCGATTATCGACGCAGGATCACTGTCGGATGCTGGCTACAGTAGACGCGTTGGCATTCGGCTGCACAACCCCCGTCCGTGCGCCTAGAAACAATTTTTGCAAGCGCTAAAGCTTCCACACACACACACACACACACGCACCGTATCCCGTGTAATCTCGATGATCGAACGAGTGCATAAATAAGTATGTGATCGTGGTGATCCCTCTTCGACACAGACATGGAGTCAGATTGATCATATAATCATTAGATACAGATGGAAAGGATGTTGTAACGAGCTTAGCAACTTGCCATTCCGTTTGAGTGTGAGTCGTGTTCATGTCTCACTGGACATTTTGGTTCATGGTGTCTGCATTTTCCTCTCTTTCAGATTGTCAGTCAACTCTCTCTCGACGAGGAACATCCGGTCTGTCGACGGCTCCAGCCAATACGTAGACTCGGCCCACATGCGGTTTTTTGGTGCATCCATTCACGGGGGATATCCTGCGCACACAAGAGTCAAGCATCTCANGACTGCTGTTCGTATTGGACTCCGACCACGCACTTGTCTGTTCCAACTAGTTTATGCGATTGGCGGCCGCAAAAGGATGTGATGCAAACAGCTTTACGTTGCCAAGCTTTCTGACCCAGTCGTGCTAGGCGACTACCAAAACAAGTTGGGCGAAAGGCTAGCTACTATCCCACCACCGAGTTGTAACTCCCTGAGACTCACCTTACTCTCTCAGACTTCTTGACGCGCGTCGGATAATTTCGGCAAACCGCGAGTATAATGAACGGTGCATCTCTCCAAAGCGTAAACTCACAAAGAGTTTGAGAGACGACCGAGAAGCCGGGTGGACGTTACTTGCAAAGGAGATGGAATTAACAGCTAGGTGTGGAAACACCCATCAACTATTCCAACTCATTCGTGGTACGGGCCTCAAAAGACAGTGCATTAGTGAAGCAATCTGCGACATAGACAGCACGTTACTGAACAGTCTTCAGGGATGCTTGGAACGCTGGGCAGAGCAGTTCATATCGCAGTTCAGCCAGCCCTCCGCGCTGGCTGCTCCAAGCAATTCTCTCCAGAGTGCACCCTGGTCATTGTCCACGGAACCGCCTACAGAAGCGAAGATCCGAAGGGAACCCCAAGCA